TTAATGTCACCATTTGTGCAGTAGACATGAAGTAGAAAAGATCGAGCGATCCGGCCGATGCTAGGTTGAAGTGAGGTCGCGTGTTAAATTGTGCGGTTGATATAGAATGACTACCACACGTCATCTGACCCGGTGCTTGTAGTCCCCTGTATAGGGGGCACAGTACTCTTGAGCGAGTCGTTGACTAGCTATACTCTCATGTTGGTGGTGGAGTTACTTACTGTGTTTCATATTAGACGCGCTGGTAACATCTGAAGGCAGGTGACTGATCATGTGTACACATGTGCCTCAGGTGAACGCCTAGGTGTCTCCTTGATCCTGTCGATGGGTGTCCGGTTATACTATACGAAGCGTAGCTCTCTTCGCATATGCAGCTCTTATCGTACAGGCGAAAAACTTCCGTTGTAGCTTGTGTTTCCAGCAGGTCCAGCGAAGCGGTGTGTTGTATCTCGCGGCCTGTTCATCATGAATTAGCTCAGTCGCGCGCTGACCTGCCGGGAGCACGGGGTGTAGGTGACACGGGGCTGGCTGTGCAGCGCTAGAGCTATCAACTCAGTGAAAGCACTGCCTGCTGACCAATCAGAGCTCAGTGTGCGGAGTTTAAAGCGATCAAGTCATATTACAGGAGAAAGGAAATACAGAAAAGCTGCCGTTGCAGGAAAGACGGCCGGCAAAAATCACCGACTGTGTGAACCTGAACATTAATAGAATATCACCTCCCATCTTCAGAGCAATCTGACTATTATAACATTAGCGTTAAGAAGCTTAATTAAATATCTGCCACAACATAATTAACCGGATCAGAGTAACATTAAGTAAAGTCCGCGGCATATCACATCATAATGTGTCATATCTCCTTATCTGAGTCAGCTGAGCCGTATCTGGCCGTGCAACACTCACAGTGTCACATACTGTATGCAGAAGTATTATTTTAAGCAACACATTAAGTTGACGAAACACTCGAGACAAATGTAATTAAAGTCAGATCCACTCGTGTCTTAGACGGGGCATATCATAAACCTGTTAATGTACGCATTCAAACACTTTTTCTTTTACCAGCTGTATTCACCTTGCAGGTGCAGCTATGTGGCTTTTATCATGGATAAAGTGTTTAAGTCATGGATGTTTAAATTGTAACTTCTTCACATTTGTCTAATTATATAGTTGACTTTTCATTCAGGAAGTATGACGCGCCGCGCTACCACCCCTTTCATGTGAACGCGCACCTAACTAGATAGGGCACGGCTGGCTTGAGCGATCCACTTGATAAGCCGTGTCGTAGTACAGTTTAACGAGAGCGCGTATGTTTTGGATTAGGCCAACCGGCTAACTCAAACATATCCAGGTTAGGTTGAACCAGCTTCGTAGTATACCCCCCAAGTTTCTTCACATAGTGCAGCACTGTTTATGTTTTCCCGCGAGATGGTTTTAGTTTTGTCCGAGGCCTTCAAGTGTCTTGTGGCTTCTATGTTTACATCACAAAGGCTTCTTAAACAGCCTTCATCCTTCACTAACCAAAAAGAGGACGCTGCATAAGGAGTTTTGACTGCTGCATGAAATGTTTACAATAGAGCATCTCTACCTATTGTCGCTAACAAAGAGGCGGCGTATCAAGTGCAGCTGCTATCACTTATTACCCGTAAACAGATACTCTTCCACTCACACACGACTCAATAATTGATCGTTGTTGGTCTCCCACAGCTTAGTTTGTCCCAGCTAGGCTTTACATTTCCACTGATGTTACAGTACCTTAGAGATCTGTAATTGCACTGTGTTTTCGTGCTTAAACGTGTATATTTCTTAAGTTGAAATCTAGACAAAAAAACGGGAATTCTAACCTAAGCTAGCAAGGATCCAAGAATAAAACAGTGGTAATATTGTGAAATGTCAAATATAGCAGCGCTGAGTTGTGTCATTAGAGCTGCTAATACTACCTCTTATTTAAAAAGAAAATATTTATTTATTTATATTGCCTTTTCATTTGATCCGTATGGCTAGCGTGGGTTTGTGATGCTTCTTGTGTTTGATTGATATCCGTTAGTGAACGAAAGCTTAAATAAAAACGGTGAGATTGATACTGACTTTCTGATTATTTATTTTTTACTTGAAGAACATATGCACAAATGAACTGGGAACCTAAAAAGTAGACAAACAATGTACAATTTTTGCTTGTCAAACATACAGTATTTACAAAAAGCATCAACAAATTATAAAAAAAAAACATTATGACATAATGTATGTAACAGATAAACCTCAAAAAACACAAGCCTAGAGATATTTGGAGCTAACAATGTCAACTCACAAAGAAACTCAACAAAATACAGTTTACTTTGCACATGGTTAGAAATACAGTATTTTCTACTTCAATCATCTTTGTTTAGAGGTTTTCCTTAAAATTAACTATAAAAAATAGGCATGAGTGTCTAAAATAGTAAGGTAATAATAAAAAGGATTAGTTACTGTCCTCGAAGCTGCCACTGCTGCTGTAAGAGGAGTTTAACCTCATGGTGCTCATGGGATCAGACACATAGCCTGGAAAAGAGACAAATAAAGACGCTATTCATAGTTAGTTTCATTTATGACGAATAATATCTTAGAAATATTAAGGTCTGTTTAATATAATATGTTCTTAAAGGTGGGGTAGATAAGTTTGAGAACCCGGCTCGAGATACACCTTTTGTTATATTCCATGGAATGCTCTTAACATCCCGATAGCAATGAATATCTTACTGTAAGTGCTTTGACAAAAAAGTAAAAAAGCACGACCAATCATCTGAGCCGGCCCGGCTAAAGTAACTGGATGGCCTACCTGCCTGTCAGCCTTCCATCTGTGCACAAACTTATCTCGTGCCCTCATTGGTGATGTGCGCGTTCGTGTGTGTTGGAGGGGCTCTGTGAGGAAGTCTGAAGGAAGGGGCAGATTTTTTTCCGGCTGCGTACTTTCAAATTCTAGCGCACTTGAGCTGGTTTCTCCATTCTTACCTACCCTACCTTTAACATTTGGGCTGCTGTGGTTGCCAAAACTTGACCGTCAAAGTATGGTAAAAATACATT